AGGAGGGGATCTGTGCACATGCATGGATCCCCTCCTGATCGGAGTGGAGCGGATTGGAAGTCACCTCTGTGACATCCATGACCATCCATTTTTTTCTCTATCTTGCGATGGAGGAAAAGACTGAAATGATCGGACCCCATGTCGATCTTTGGGTAATTGGATGTAAACAGACATGTTTCCTTTTACATCAGGTTACCACCGATCCGGCACGATCAGGCCCTTCAAAACTGAACACTGTTCTGTTTGTTTTTCCCAACCTGGCCGCAGTTGGGGGTTAACGGGAATAAATGGATGCCCTTCCGTTTACACTTGGCTGCCCATTTACCGCGTGAAAGGGGTCTTAAGAAAACAGTTGAGTTCTGCATATGATCCTTTCTAATCTGCACTAGGTCTTTTTCAGGAAACATTTTTTTTAAAGAGGTAAACTCTTCATCAGTTTCATTAGTCAAGTACCCAAAGCAAAATAAAAGAGAGTGGCTCTTTCAAGGGTTTGTCCTGAAAAATGAACTGTGCACATTTTAAATGTTGGTACCCAGCTGTTTTGTTCATGCACTCATACAGCTAAAATCAGATTTGTATTAACAGAATCTCACCAAGTATATCAACTGAAAGACATTTTCCAAATTTGAGTGTATTGCAAGGCTTTGGATTAAATTATTTTTTTGTCTCATGCTTACATTTACATGGACCAATCTGGTTGCAAGGGATTGTATAAGGGCTGGTTCACACCATCTGCCATTCTTTCAAGTGCAGGAATTTGCCCTCGTCATGGATGGTGACAGTTCACACCACTGCACATCACTGCTTTCTGGCACTACGGAATGCAGTACTGTTATTTAGCGCACCACAGAGAGATGCTCTAGAACTGCATATTTAGCTCTGGAGGGAATTACAACCAACTGGCCCTTTCAGAGAAAGTCCAACCTGCATGTGGATCTTATCGATAACTACAGCAGAGCACTTGGGGTGTGGACTAGGGAATGTACAGCACAGCATGCAGAATAGGAAAGTATGGAATAGGGAATGTACAGTACAAGCTCTTACAGTATTTGCCGTCGTATAAGACGACTTGACGTATAAGACAACCCCCTACTTTTTGTGTTAAAATATAGGTTTTGGGCTATACTCGCCGTATAAGACGAGTATAGCCCAAAATAATGTTTAATGCACCCACTAACCTCCATGGCGGTATTCCCGAGTGTGGCTCAGGGTTAATTTTCAGTACCATAAGCGGTAACCCCGAGCTACATTCGGGATTACAGTCTCTTACCTTGTCCACGATCCACGCTGTGTCCTCCGTCTTCCGCTGAGTCAATCACAGCAGGCTTTGTATTAACGAATACAGGCTTTGTATTCATTAATACAAAGCCTGCCGTGATTGGCTCAGCGCGGTATACTGTATGTAGCTGAAGCAACATACAGTATACCGTATCCTTCCGTATGCACCCGGCGTATAAGACGACCCCCGATTTTCAGGGGATGTTTTAAGGTCTCAAAACCCGTCTTATACGCTGGCAAATATGGTACATATTCCTGGCTGCTTCATTCTGTGAACTTTACTGTGCCATGTACTGTACATTACATACTCCTGATGTGTAAGCTGTACTACACATTACACATTGCTGACTGCTCCACTCTATAAGCTGTACTGGTAGTTACATAGTCTTGACCACTACATTTTATGCTGTAGTGTACATTACCTACTGCCGACCATACCACTGTAAGTAGTACTCTGTGTAACCTACTGCTGACAACTCCACTCTGTACACCATACTGTACATTACTAACTGTTGACTGCTTTGCTTTGTATATTGTATTGTACATTACATATTCCTAATTGCTCCACTCTGTGTGCTGTTTTGTACATTACATATTCTCAAATGCTTCATTGTACTCTGTACAGTATGTTACCTACTGCTGACTGCTTTACTCTATGTTGTACTATTACATACACCTGACTGCTCCATTGTACGCTGTAGTGTTGGGGTAGGCAGCCTCTGCAATGCTTCATGGGACTTGAGGACAACAGCTGGAGTACCAAAGTTGCCTACCCCTGCTGTAGTGTCTGCTACCTGTTCGTGTATGTTAGATACAAGAAGGGGTCCCTTTCACCCTCCCACCAAAGACAAGATTTCTCATCCACCAGGCCCATCTCTGCCTGGGGTCCCAAAGCATCAACATGGGCTGTTATTGCCAATGCTCATCAGTGTTTCTTCAGCTTGAATGATTTGCCTCTATATTTCAGATCTTTTTGTCCATTCATTATGGCATATAATTTTACCACACACACACAAAACTCCAGATCAAACACAGTAATTCATTTTGTCGATACAGGATGAGCTGTGACTCAGAACTAGTTTTGACGCTCTTTGTGTTTTAAATTAAGGACATAAATGAGAAAATGTGAAAAGTCCTAACAAAGCCAACTTGTGGGCTGGAGAGCGTGACCTGACAGCCATGTCAAATAGATTGCGGCTAATTCTTTATGAAGAAAGCATGGGTCCTTGGCCAAAATAAGGGGCTCCATAGTTACATAAAGGAACAATGGCAAGGAAACAAGGGGGCCTTGTCTATGGATCATATAAATGAATGGCGAAGAGCACAACTTGCAGGATACAAAGAAATCATTCACAAATCCCTCCCAGTGTACACATATCCTTCACTGTGTTTGTGGACTGGACGCCCAGGCTCAGCAAACCAGCTAGCTCGCTCCACACATTTCCTTCTTTATGGTTAAAGCCTTGGTGCAAATCATGAAAGCATTAGACCTGCAGTAAATGATGTAAATCATTTCCATGATCACTGAGGCAAAAGAAATAAAGTTGAAGCCTGGTTACAGATGGGTTGGCTTGATAACATTGGACAGGGTGTGCAGTGACCCACACTAGCCAATGAGAAATCTGCTTTCCACAGCTTAGAGTGGGCAGGTTCATGACACTGGTTGTTTGGATTGATGTGCATTGCTGCGTTTTGAGTTATTACATAAGGCTTTGAGTGTCCATTGCTTATCATAAAAAGAGTGTTCAATTTTCTTTAGCTATAAAACTTCAAGTGTTTAAAACTAAGACCCTGGAGAAAGGAAATGTCAGAAATTCAGATTGCAGATTACTTTAGAGTAGACCTTGTGAATTAAAGGTGTGTATACACTAGTAGATATTTTTGTTCAGCTTTTGGGCTGAAGGAAAACATTCTAACAGACTGAAATGAGCATATTCTCAATGCTTGCACACATTACTGTACATAAGTCATAATGTTAATAGGGGACTTCAACTTCAACGATGTCCCAGTCCATGTTAACGCCACTGTGGAGATAAGGGACACTTCAGCCAAATTCCCAATGGGCCCTACACGTAGGTAAGACACAAATCTATATTTGCCAAAAACACTGCCTTTTTTGGGACTCAACAGACTTCAGCCACACTTTATCCTACAAAAAATTTGTATAAGAAACCTCTTATACATATTTTTTGTAGAATATAGCATGGCTGAAGTCTGTTGAGTCCCATAAACAGGGAGTGTTTTTGTGAATTGTTGGATTTTATATACTAGGGACTCCAGATGTTTTTTTTATTGAGGTGTTGGAACTCTTTTTTTTTTTTTTAAGGCACAATTCTACCTAAAGTAAATACAAATATTCTGCGCTATTAGAGAAAAAAAGAGAATTGAGGAGAAGGAACCGGGTTAACTGCAAGCTGCTGGAACTCAGGCTTAGGTGCCTCAGCGGTTAGTAAATTCGTAGTAAATCGCTATAAGTATTCACGGTGTATTTGAACAGACGCAATGTATATGAAATAAAGCGATAAATACACAGATTTATGCAAACATGAATAAATATATAAAAGCAAATAAATTCTCATGACCCATGCTACACTGAATGGATGCAGACACAGGCTGGAGAGCGTCTGAATACCTGTGAGCACTTCCCTGATTTGAAGAACTGGGTTAACATTGTGAAGCCGTATAGGAAATCTACCCACGGCCAAGACGGCTTTTTGCCTCTTCATCATTTCATATATTTCATATACATTGCGTCTGTTCAAATACACCGTGAATACTTATAGCGCTGTACTACGAATTTACTAACAATTCTACCTAAAACTGGACTGACTGTTTTGGATGTAAACAGCAGTCTGATAAATGGTTCTGGTATGCTGAAAAGAGACTATGCCTGCTACTTTACTACAGTAATGAAACTGCACCTAAAGACTGGTGTATCTGGCATCCATCATAAAGCATATGCTCTACAGCAGTGGTTCTCAACCTGTGTAACCTCAGGACCCACATTTGTCTTAGGCGGGTGGTAGGTGCGTTTGGGATGCCATTCAAATTAATTGCAACACAACGCACCTCCTGCACCAGAACACACGGTAGGTGCAATTGCATGGTACAGTGTGTTAACCGAATGGTAGTGGGCTGCTGTGCCGTGATGAAGCTCCATCCATATGTGCATTGCTTGTACAGCTCTCTTGCACACCCTGTAGAGGTGCTGAGAGCCAGAATGTGACCTTACTCCGATCCAGGCACCTCTACAGGGCATGCGAGGGAGCTGTAAGCCATGGATGGAGCTCCCTCACGGCCATACCCCCTCCTCAAGCTGACACTTTGCACCAGGAAACATATTTTGATTGGCTGCTTGGCAAAAGAACTGACAGTGCCGTGTTAGGGGAAGGCTGAGAAGCCTCTCACCTAGCGTAGTGGAAGGAATGTGGCGACCCACTGAACATGGGGTTTCAACCCACATTTATGTCGCGACCAACCAGTTGAGAATTGCTGATCTACAGGATCAGCCTTTGAACCCAACTAGATACTTTCATATGGGTTTGGGGGCATTGCAGTAACCAAACTGATCTTTAAAATTTGATACCTAATGTGTTTCTCTTTCTGTACATTAAGTTTTATAACTTTGATAAATGGAAGCCCAAAATTTAGACAACTTCCCCCCTACCCAGCCACAGTTTGTAGATTTTGATTAGTCCATTCTAAATCTCATGCACTCCTACCTGTATCCATACTGTCACCAGATCCTTGACAACCATCTTCATCATCGCAGTCACCACTTAGATCCTCACCCTGTGACCCCCCTCCTCCTCCACTACCCTCTGTGATGCGCCATCGTTCTGGCTTGATTCTTCTTTCACTGCCCATCTGAAAACATATAAGATAAAAAAGACATAAAAATATTACTGTACAGTATTTTCAGAAGTGACACCAAATTTATCAAACTCAACATCCAAACAAATAATATGGTAGCAAAATTATACACAGTGGATGGTTACATGACGCTACTTCTTTGTTTTGTAGTGCATAATGATCTTTTATGGACAGAATTGAGGTGGACCAATGAATATCAACAGTACTGTTATTCTAACTACGCAGACTCTTTGGGGGTGATTTACTAACCTAAACACACACACACACCAGGTGCGTGTGATTTTCACACAGCAAAACGTATTTATCAACCAAAAAGTCTCTAAAAGCATATTTCCACTAATGCCATGTATGGAAAAATCATGCACATGATGCATATATAATGCTGCTTCACAGTTTAGACAAAAATGGTTAGCTCATGCATTTACATTGCTGCATTCATCAACGCAAGCGACATAACATAGAGCTAATTTACACCACATTACCTTGCAATTCATTGCAGGGCTTTGCACAACACACCTGCTGGGTGTGTACACACTACAAAGGTGTTTCGATTCCTCCCATAGATCATGCTAGGAGGGAACACACTACAGAGGTGTATACACGTTCGTGGTGTGTTTAAAAGGTTAGTAAATCAACCCCTTTGTGTCAGTCAAAGAGCAGATGTTTTATTGGGCAGGATAGGCACCTTATACATCACTTGGCTATGCATACCAGCAGCACAGAATGCAAGGTCAAGCTATCCTACTTTACACAAGCAACCAACCAAGGGAGAGATCATGGGCCACTAAAAATGAGTAAGAGGCAGCATGGCACACTCTACCAGCTGAGTCTAGGTCCACTTTCTAATAATAACATGCTTTAACGCTGTCCCCAGATGGACAGATCTCTTTCTGAGAGCTACATGCAGGGAGATATCTGCCCATTTTAATGTCAACCTCTCTGAAAAATTGAACACTCGGACATGGACAGTTGATGAGGGGACCCGGCAGCATACCTTATCCCGTTGGGTAAACGTCCACTCCTCTCTTTGCCAGCATCCATCACCAAGATGGCTGCCAGCAGGTAACAGCGTGTGACTTCGTCACGCACATGCACAATGACATCACGGCGGGGTGTCACCCGGTTGCTGCTCTGGGTGACACCACGCCTCGGGACGCAACTGGCACCAGGACCAAAGTCGTTTTCAAGAGGGCTGTAGAAAGCACACATGTGGAAGCACTGGTATGTATAGAGGCATTGCTACAGGTGGGACATGTAATGTGTCTCCAGTCTTCTGAAGCGTGCCCTCTGGTTTTAAAAATTTCTATAGCATATTTGCAGTCCTTGACCATCTCCTGATGTATGTCTTCAGCCTCTAACAGTTTTCAGTAGAATTGCATTTATTGAATGTTTTGGGTGGCACTTTAGTGATGTCAGGGGTCGCACTTAAGGGCCTCCTATTTCATGTAGGTTGACCACCACTGTTTTAACCCTTCCCCACTATATAACATTTCTATCACTTTCTGTTCTGACAGGAGATAACGAGAAACCTCCCTAACAGGAACACAGACTGCACTAACACCCTAACAGGGGTCCAAAACTATTTAAAATATAAGTAGAGTATAAGTAGAGGCATAGTGACATGACATAAGCATAAACAATAGGAGAACACTTGCACATTACTGAATGATAAACACCTGCATTGCAATCACTTTTCTAAGCAGGATAAAATTGCTCTACCATTGAATGCATTGCGGTATTAAAATGTAGAAATTACCAGTATTTTCTTAACCTTAGCTTCCTAATTGTTTGTTCTTATACCTGTATTACAAACACTTGTGCATGTCATTAACAGGAATAAAAAATAACGGGTTTACCTTGGAAAGGATTTCAGCGTGAGAAAGATATATTGCTGAACTTCAGCTTCTGCCTTTTTATTCTGAGTAAGTTCACAAAAACAAGACAGATTTCCTAAGCCTAAAAGCGCTGGAGGACATGTACTGAATGCTCACACATATGAGCTTTTCATCTGTTTTATACATTTTTAATGTTGGAAAACTGGTTGGAAAAAAAGAGAAGATAAAACTGTCTCCTACAGCACTTATCTTTGTTAGGTGCAGGAAGCAGGTGTATTGTCAGAACGTTTCCAGGGGCTGTACTTGGAGACCAGGGCTGCCCCAGGCATAAGGGCTTATTCACACCAGACTCATTATTATGCATGGACATGAGAAAATACATTGATTTCCATAAGATCTGTTACCATCAATGATTTGTACTGCAGTATGTTGTAAAAAGAAAAGTCCTGTAGGCTGCATTTTTGGTGGATCACATACATTCTCTGTGTCTTATTGCCCCATAGGAATGTGCGGAAGAGTACCCTCACAGACTGGAAGAAACCCCTCGGGACAAGAATGGGTGGATCACATACATTTTAACAATCACTGGCATGTTAGTACAAATCAGTAACACACATAAACTTTGGTGTAAAAAAAACCTTAATGTCCATTCCAATGGCTCCATCACAAGCCTCAGGAAATACGAATGAAAGGTACCTTCAACTGCCCCATAGGTATGTTGTGGTTGTGACATTAGGCTCAATTCACAAGCTTTACACACGGATGTAGATCTTTATTTTCATGCAGATGACTAATTTTCAGATCTCATTTTACTAAAAATAAAGATCTTTATTCTAGTGTTCTAACTTTTTGAATTCAGTCTATTGTTTAAAAAGGGTTGAAGGATAGAGAGTGAAGCATTGCTGGTAGCTAATCTGGCACTGTGTGAAATGTGGACTGGCATTATACGGTGACAAGATGGGTAGTTCTGCTCCTTCTTCATGTTAAAGCTCACCACAATAAAATGTATAAGATGCAATAGTGTGAGTCACAAAACAAGACAATAATATATCTGACCCCCTTTGTCCACATTCAAGGGTCAAAACAATAAGTATTGATTTCCAAAACTGAAAACCTCAATTGTCCTGAATCACACAGGTCCATCCCAAGATTTGAACAAAATCATAGGTTCCCAGAAGACCCAGACATGTCCCCAAGCCAAGTGCTAGAACCCTGATGTTCTAAATAATCAAGTGCCAGTAACAGTCAATTATATTTTTAGCTTTTGTTACCATCCCCTCCATTTTCCACTAAGTGTTCAATAGAATATTGTGGGATTAAAATTGTTCCATATCTGTCAGGGACAATCTTGCTGTCTGCAAATGAATGGCTGCCAATTTAATGTGGAACTCTGGATTTTTTTCTAGTTTTGGATAGAGTAAGGAGGGGCTAGAATTGCTCTTTGGTTTTCATTGCTGTGTGTCTCCATTTAAGAAGATTTACCTCACTTCCAGTGAGGCCACCAAGACAAAGTACACAGACAGCAGAAGAATGAGGGAAGATTAGAACCTCTGTCTGGTTTTATTGCTGTCTTTGTTACCAATAAGGAAACTGAAGTAAGAAGACACAGGCACAATAAAACCCTGAAACCCCGGTTCTAAACCCTCTCAGCTATACTAAGAAAAGTGTTTTAGCTGCGTTCACTGAGCCACTGGGGGTGATTTACTAACCTAAACACACACACGCACCAGGTCCGTGTGCATTTTTACACAGCAAAATGTATTCATCAACCAAACACGAGCAACGTGTCACATTTTCACGCCGTTATGGCGCGTTTTTTATTTATTTATTTGTATTTACGTACGTGCGCGTCATGTAGCATGCGCCATAGGCTACACGCCGATCTAATAGTGGCATGCAAGTCTCTAAAAGCATATTTCCACTAATGCCATATATGGAAAAATCATGCACATGATGCATATATAATGCTGCTTCACAGTTTAGACAAAAATGGTTAGCTCATGCATTTACATTCCTGCATTCATCAACGCAAGCAACACAACGTAGAGTTAATTTACACAACATCACCTTGCAATTCATGCAGGGCTTTGCACAACACACTTGCTGGGTGTGTACACACTACAAAGGTGTCTAGATTCCACCAATAGATCATGCTGGGAGGGAACACACTACAGAGGTGTATACTTGTTCGTGACATGTTTATAAGGTTAGTAAATCAACCCCACTGTGTCCATGTGACACTCTGTCACTAGGAGAGGAGTGAGGGAAATGTTCTCAATAGCTCACAGACAGCAATGAAAACCTAAAAAGGGTTCTAACCTTCCCCAGTCAAATAAAACAAAGTTAAATAACACTTGGAAGCCATGTTCTTCTTGTCACATGAACTATTTAGCAGTATAGTTTACTCTGAATAAGTCTAGCAAAAGGAAAATATTGCAACTACAAACCATATAAGTTCGTTCTGCCTAAAACTTAAAGCAGAACTCCATTTTTTAAAAACTTGTCCACCCACGATTTAAAAAAATTCTCTTTATACATACCTATGTTCCTGGGGTCTTAATGCAGGTCCCATGACATCCTCAGGTCTTCTACTTGGCATTGGTGGGTCATCTTCAATACTGCAGAGAATGGACATTATGACATCAGCAGCACTCTCTGCAGTACTGTACTGTGATCCCAGGACAATGTAGTGAAGCATCTGCAGGGTGTGTGTCCTTGACAGCCTGAGCTCACTGAATGACCCTGGTTACCATTCAACACAAATGAGGACTGGAGGCTAAAACAGTGTTTCTCTGGCAGCCAGAGGTGAATATTTCCCCATAAGCTCAATTTTTTCATTTTAAAATGCATTGACTGTTTATTTGTAGATATCTGTTTTAAAGTGGCAGCACAATTGCTTCCTCCAGATTATACTCACCATTTCTGTACAATTGTCCTCCTGAGCCCCCATCATTGAAAGAACTTCTAGGCAACTTCTTGAAGGGCCTACTTTTCATTGGATTTACTGATTATAAAAAAAAGCTTTACCTATCACTGAAGGGCAAATGAGCTTGGGTAAAACAGCCCCACTGAAGACTTAGGGGTCTATTCACAAAGCTGCCGAGGGCAGCCGAGTGAATGACCGATCAGAAGTGAAGTGAGCCGAACACTGTTCGGCTA